TGAAGAAAAGCATTTGACGGACTCTCCATCAGAAAAGTTACACAATGCACATTTAAACTGACGCCTCAGATGTGAAGAGTCCACAGTTTAGCTCTTCCGTCTTCTCTCCTTCTTCTCTGTATTCTCCTCCATGTTTTAGCTCCAAGAAACTCCATAATGCAGCCGCCATGATGGATGTTTGCAATATGTTAGAGGAGCTATGGACACACGGGTGGTTCAGTTCTGCGACGGAGATCTTCAGGCTACAGTCACGATCAGGCCCAATTGGATTTACAGTGTGCGGAGATTCAAACGTGTCATTTTGTGAACCATGATGTAATTGAGTTGTTGACAGCGATCTGTGCTTACCATAGGACGCGCTCAGGTAACGTCCTAACGAAAAGATTTAGACTTAGACAAATTTAGTGGTTATTAGGTTGTTTTTTTTTACGACCAAGAGTTTGGACTCGTCACTAGAGGCACATGGAACTGTCATAACAGCGCCGAAACCTGCTTAAATCAGCTGACCGGACACATCACAGTAACATCACGTGACCGCTCTGAGGAAGACCGCAGGGAGTAGTTCAAACTGTCAAGTACGAAAACAAACTCTTGGTCAGAAAAAAAGAACCTCATAGGCTCTACTCACGCTTACCGGAAGACGTTTGGAAACATGTCGACGACGAGTTCGGGTGTGGTTACCGACACCGGGCATTTTTATTTATTTATTTATTTTTTAAGTCAGTCAAATTATAATGGCAGATGCTATTTGCACCCTGGGTGTAAATAGTTAACATTGTTATTCACACACAGGGCAAACAGCCATTGTTGCTATTTACACCCGGGTGTATTTAGCGTGGCACATAGAAGGGCACCCGGGTGTTCCTAGTCAAAAATGCTGTTTGCACCCAGGTTATTTATTAAAAAAAAAAAAAAAAAAAAACTCACAGTGCAAACATAAAACCCAGTGAAAAGCAGTAATATTTGATGTTTTTTTTTTACTCAAAATGATGCAGAATCATCGATCAGTCATTCACAGTCTGCGCTTAATGGTTTAGTCCTGGTTAAATCCTGTTTTAGTCCTGGTTTAGACTTGGTTTTAGTCCTGATTTTAGTCCTGGTTTAGTCCTGGTTTTACTTCTGGTTTAGTTCTGGTTTAGTCCTTGTCTTAGTTCTGGTTTAGTCCTGGTTTTACTTCTGGTTTAGTCTTGAGCTAGTCCTGGTTTAGTTCTGGTTTAGTCCTGATCTTAGTCCTGGTTTTAGTTCTGGTTTAGTCCTGGTCTTAGTCCTGGTTTAGTCCTGGTTTTAGTGCTGGTTTAGTTCTGGTTTAGTCCTGGTCTGTTTAGTCCTTGTCTAGTTCTGGTTTTACCTGGTTTTACTTCTGGTTTAGTCCTTAGTCTGTTTAGTTCTGTTTAGTCCTTTTAGTCCTGGTTTAGTTCTGGTTTAGTCCTGGTTTTAGTCTGGTTTAGTCTGGTTTTAGTCTGGTTTAGTTCTGGTTTAGTCCTGGTTCTGGTTTAGTTCTGGTTTAGTCTTAGTCTTTTAGTTCTGGTTTAGTCTGGTTTTAGTCCTTGTTTAGTCTGGTTTAGTTCTGGTTTAGTTTTTGGTTTAGTCCTGGTTTTAGTTCTGGTTTAGTTCTGGTTTAGTTCCTGGTTTAGTCCTGGTTTTAGTTCTGGTTTAGTTCTGGTTTAGTCCTTGTCTTAGTCCTGGTTTTAGTTCTAGTTTAGTTCTGGTTTAGTCCTGGTTTTAGTTCTGGTTTAGTTCTGGTTTAGTCCTGGTTTAGTCCTGGTTTTAGTTCTGGTTTAGTTCTGGTTTAGTTCTGGTTTAGTTCTGGTTTAGTCCTGGTCTTAGTCCTGGTTTTAGTTCTGGTTTAGTCCTGGTTTTAGTGCTGGTTTCGTTCTGGTTTAGAGGCACGGTAGAGGAAAAGGCACGGTCCATGCGCTGTACGGGAGAACACGCGGTGAGAAGGAAACACGGCAAATACACAAATGAATAGGTAATTTATAAAAGCAAAAAAATATATACATATATAAAGAATACAATGACATCTAGATGAAGAAATCAGGGACGTTTTCTCAGTTACTATTGCCAACTCAGCCCAAAGGAAGCATCATTTGCATGTTTCCAAATGTCTTCCGGTTTTTTGACGTAATCTGGAATAGAGCCCATAACATAAATTATCGGAAGACAAAATGAACCTCACTGGACTATGTTCTGTTCCACTTTGTGATGTCATGTAGTGGTAGTTTTCAAGTTAACAGCAGCTTAAGTCGTGCTTTTTTGGGAGAAATATATTTTATAAAATCAGAAACCAGGAACTGACATTTCCTGTGTAAAGTCAAGTTCTAGTAATAACAATAGAAGAGAGAACAACAGACTGTTAACGTCACATATGAACAGTTCTTCAGATAAACTATAACATAAACAACAGAACAGAACAAGTTTAACAAACTCTCCATCTCACTCCAAATCACTAAATCCATTCAATTCTTCATCCTCGTGTCACTTCTGAACAACTCCTCGACCTCCGGAGGTAAACAGAGCGACACTTCCTCTTCTGTGTCGCTGTCATCAGACTCAGCATCAGTTCCAGTTAGAATTATTCTGGTCTTTCTGAATCCCGACAGGATGGTGTGACTGAAGATGTCCTAGTTTTGTTTGGCCTTGCCTCCACCCACCTCAGATCCGCCCCTCTGATCAGCCTCACGTGGCCCTCTTGATCAGCGGGGGTATAAAAGCCCGGAGCAACAAGAAGAGTGACCAGTGGGTCCACCGCTTCAGCTACCTTAGTTGTTTATTTTTTTGTTATCCTTATCTGATTTTTGTGCACCTTTTTTCAGTCATTTTTGTAATAAATATCCTTCCTTTTTTCACCTCGCCACGCTTCCAGTTTTTGTTCCACACCCGGTTTATTTTAAAATCTTTTTCCAGTTACCGTGCCACACCCTAGACACCCGGGGCACGTAACAGATGGTTTTGGTCGTCACTAAAGTCCAGATTTTGTCCATCCATCCAGTGACTTCCAGGAAAGTTTAATGGTGCATCCTCCCGGTGTCACAAGTTTCTCACTCACTCTGTGTTCAGCTCCAGATTTCACGACTTGCAGTTTGTAATCTGCAAAATCTGGTTTTGTTTTGGGAGCATTTGTGTTCAGTTTTCTCAGTCGTCTTTGTAAGTTTGTTTAAATGTTACATTTTCAGTGGTGCAGAAGTAACGGTTCGATCGACTGACATGATACAGACAGAACAGAGGCTCTTTCTGCAGGAGACATGTGCAGTAGAGTGAAGTGACAGTGGTGCAGGAGGAACATGAGCAGCACAGATACTCACACACAAGACTAGAACCTCTTACCACTGTCACTGTGAAACATTTGAATATATAAGTCACACTGGAATATAAGTCGCAGGAAACACCCAAACCATGAAAAAAAGTGTGACTTATAGTCTGAAGAATATGGTACATTACACATAGAGCAGAGAGTAGTGTAATATGAGCCTTTAAACATTCAGAGATGACAGGTAAGAAATGTGCTAATGGAAGTCCTGATGGTTTATCCCAGTTTACATCTTTGTAATTACTGGGCTGGTCCATGTGTTAGCGCAATTAATGTGGTGTTTTAAGTGGGTTATGTGCAGACAGACTGTTACTGTAATTTAATAAGGTGCACTGTGGACAGTGTTGGGAGTAACAGATAATGAATGTACCGGAGTTATGTAATCAGAGTACAAATGATGAGTAACTGTATTCAGTTACAGTTACTGTTTCAGTGAGTGGTAATTGGATTACAGTTACTTTGTTGAAATAAATGGATTACATGGCGGTATTTTCCTATTTTTCTGTATTCACATTTTTGGCTATATCCCTTTTTTTTTTTTTTTTTTTTTCTCTCAGTAATTCCACTCATTGCCGGAAACTAAACCAGGTCTAAACCAGGACTAAACCAGGTCTAAAACCAGGACTAAACCAGGACTAAAACAGGACTAAACCAGAACTAAACCAGAACTAAACAGGACTAAACAGGAACTAAACCAGGTCTAAAACCAGGACTAAACCAGGACTAAACCAGATTGAAACCAGGACTAAACCAGGTCTAAACTAGATCTAACCCAGGACTAAACCAGGACTAAACCAGGTCTAAACCAGGACTAAACCAGGTCTAAACCAGGTCTAAACCAGGACTAAACCAGAACTAAACCAGGTCTAAAACCAGGTCTAAACCAGGACTAAACCAGGACTAAACCAGGTCTAAAACCAGGTAAACCAGGACTAAACCAGGACTAAACCAGGACTAAACCACAATCTAAACTAGATCTATCTAAACCAGGTCTAAACCAGGACTAAACCAGGTCTAAACCAGGACTAAAACTAAACCAGGTCTAAACCAGGACTAAAACTAAACCAGGACTAAACCAGGTCTAAAACCAGGTCTAAACCAGGACTAAACCAGGACTAAACCAGATCTAAAACCAGGTCTAAACCAGGACTAAACCAGGGACTAAACCAGATCTAAAACCAGGTCTAAACCAGGACTAAACCAGGACTACACTAGATCTAAACTAGATCTAAACCAGGTCTAAACCAGGACTAAAACAGGAGTAAAACAGAATTTAACAGGAGTAAATCATGCTGCGTGGACGTGTCTCCTCCTCTTTTATCAATAATATTTTTAATACGGTTCAGTAAAGTCTGGGCTTTTCATTTTCTTTTATCAGACAAAACTTCTTATGTTACAATTTCCTCATCTTTGTTTCTCTACAGCAAATCAAGAAATCCCAAGTATTCAGATTACATTACTCACTTTAAGTAATTTAATGGATTCTGTTACAAACTACATTTTGGGGTCTGTAATCTGTAATCTGTAGGAGAATACATTTTAAAAGTAACCTTCCCATCATTGACGGTGGAGTGCATTTGACCCAGACTGCATGCTTAAACACACGTCTAATCATCTGAAACCCGCTCTCCTCTCCTCCTCTCCTCTTTTCACTTCCTCACCCGTCTCTCTCTCTTTTCCTTGTGTCCAGGCGTCCCGACCAAACCCGAGATCTCCGGCTTCAGCTCGGCGGTCCCTGAGGGGGAGGAGGTGACCCTGACCTGCACCTCCAGCGGCAGTAAGCCCCCCGCTGAGCTGCACTGGTACCGCGGGGACACCAGGCTCCAAGGTAAGAACTGGAAGCATCAGATGAAACGTGGACAGAGCGATGATGGTGAAGGTGTGGGACGAGAAAAAAGAGAAGGTGACTCCGTTGTAGATCCGAGCTGTGTGTGGCAGGAGGGAAGTTTGTGTTTTAACTCAGCCTGATGTTGTTTAGTTTCCATATGTTACCACAGATGTTGGACGTGTGCTTATGTGCTTTGGTACAAGTCTGTTTCAATATTTTGGATTTTTAAGAGGTACAGTATGTTTAAAGAGGAGGTATTTGACTTCTATGAGGTATTAACCGCTTACACATCCCATATTTAGATCACCATGTTACCTTTTACTGCTTTCAAAATGTTGTATTCACCAAAGGCAAGCTGGAACCATACAGAGCTGTGCAGATGCTGTGGTGGGAGATCTTTTGTTTTTGTGGAAGAGTGATCTACTATGAGCTTATGAGCACTTAAGCACAACATAAAACTAGAAAGACTATAACAAATATAGATGCACTCTGTAACTTTTCTGGAACACCGCAAAAAAACAAAATCTAGTAGAGTTAAGTTGACTTGAATTAAGAAAGTTTTATCATGATTTGAGTCCATTTCACCTTATCTGTCATTGGAATATGTCTTTTTGTTCTTAAAATATGAAAATACATCTCGCTACACTAAAAAGTAAGTAAAACAACAACTTTTTGCACTTAAAATATGAAACAAAATCGAATCTGGCTTGAATAAGTAAAAACACACTTATTCCACTTGCAGATAATTTTACTTGTCAAGTTGAATCGACTCAAATAAAGTTTAATTTTCTTGATTTACTGTATTTTCCGGGCTCTTAAGCCTCTAACCCTTTCACAAAACGACCGCGCGGTCCGCAATCCAGAGCGCCCTATACACGAATCCACTCAGGTGTCCCAGCACGACTTCAGTAAACTACAAAGCCACAAACACACACGGAGCAGACAGCGACCGCGCGGCGAAAAACACCCACAGTCACACTCATCACTCCACGCCGACGAGGAACGGAACAGAGGAACAAACTGAAAAAGCGAGTGCGATGTGCCACTTTGAGCCACAACTGAACAACTGAGTCACTGCGAACACGCCGACAATCCGTTGGTCCCAGACAGAACCCTCCCTACACGCCGCAACTGAACAAAGCCCAGAGTCACCGTGAACGCCCCAAACAAACAAAACCACTCACCCATCACACTGTTGTGTTTCATTTAAAGTCCAGTGCAGTTTATTTGTGAAAAAAGTTCTAAATAGACCATTTAATGACAGTGCGTTATATAATCCAGAGCGACTAATAGCCCAGAAAATACGTTAAGTCATTTTAACTTAGCTAGATATTATAATTTTTTCCAGTGAAGCTCTGAGGCTGTCCTCCCTGCATTTATTTTCAGTATGAGCAGGTGGACAAACTATAAATTCCAAACTTGTGAAAATATATTTTGCCATGCTGCGAAAAAACCAGACCCAACCCACTTTATTTATACTGCACATTTTAGAACCATGACAGTTTCTAAAGTGCTGCACAGACAAATCAAGACTATAAAAGAGTAAATCATATAAATGAATTGAAAGTGATCAGAGTTGTAAATGTGTGGTCTTTTATTGTGTAAGCGTCAGTGTTTGTTCACGAGCTCCTCTGCTCCAGTGGCTCCAGAGGACACAGCCCCCTGATCAGGCGGCTCTATCCCGGGGAGGAAGGGCCGTTTGGGGCGTGTGTCAGAGCTGTGCCCTCCTCTGTCCTGGGCACAACCAGAACATGCTGAGTCTGAGCTTCCTCTCTATCCTCTCTTTGTCTCCTCTCTGGTCCCCTCCCCCATTTTTCTGCTCTTCTCTCTCTCTATATCCCTCCTTCTCTCGCTCTCATCCTTTCTTCACTCTATCTATCTTCTGCCCCCACTTTTCCTCCTGGACCCTTCACCACTTTCTTTTATCTTTGCTCTCTTTCTTTCCTCCTTCTCCTCCTCTTTCTCTACTGCTTCACCTTTCCTCCTCTCTAGTCCTTTCCTCGCTGATTCTCCCTCCTCCTCTCCTCCTCGTCTCTCTTTTCTTCTACTCCCCCTCCTTCCTCATCAACCCTCTTTCCTGTATCTATCTCTCCTCCTTTCCTCCACCATCTGAAAAACCTTCCACCAGAAACGTTGCACTATTGTATCATTTAATGTGATGATACAGTATCGATATCGTGGGCTGCTGTATCGGTATATCACCAAGAGTATTTTTTTGGTATGCAGCTCTGGAAAAAAAAAAAAAGAGGCCACTGCAAAATGATCAGTTTCCCTAATTTTACTACTTAAATGTATGTGTTTGAGTAAAATGAAAGTTTTTGTTTCATTCTATAAACTACTGACAACATTTCTACCAAATTCCAAATAAAAATATTGTCATTTAGAGCCTTTATTTCCAGAAAATGACAAATGGTCAAATAAAAACGCACTTTGTAACTTTTCTGGAAGACTGCAAAAAACTAAATCGAGTCGAGTTAAGTTGACTCGAATTAAGAAAGTTTTATCACGATTTGAGTCCATTTCACTTGATGAGTAAAATTATCTCTCATTGAAATAAGTTTTACACTTAAAATATGAAAATACATCTTGCTACACTTAAAAATAAGAAAAACAACAACTTTGTGCACTTAAAATAAGAAACAAAATCGAATGTTGCTTGAATTAAGAAAAACACACTTAATCCATTGGCAGATAATTTTACTTGTCAAGTTGAATCGACTCAAATAAAGTAAAATTTTCTTAATTTAAGTCGTTTTAATTTAGCTAGATTTTTTTTTTTTTTTCAGTGAAGCTCTGAGGCTGACCCCTCTGCATTTATTTTCAGTATTAGTGGACAAACTATAAATTCCAAACTTGTGAAAATATAAATGATCAGTTTCTCTGACTTTACTACTTAAAGGTATGAAAATGAACATTTTAGTTTCATTCTATAAATTACTGACAGCATTTCTCCCAAATCCCAAATAAAAATATTGTGATTTAGAGCGTTTATTTGCAGAAAATGACAAATGTTCAAAATAACAAAAAAGATGCAGTGTTTTCAGACTTCAAATAATGTGAAGAAAACAAGATCATATTCATTTTAATACAACAATACTAAAGTTTTAACTTAGGAAGAGTTCAGAAATCAATATTTGATGGAATAACCCTGATGACCATCCATCTTCTTCTTGATCACGTTCCAGAGGTTTTCAGTGGGGTTCAGGTCTGGAGATTGGGCTGGACATGACAGGTTGATCTGCTGGTCCTTCATCCACACCTTGATTGACCTAGATGTTGGTGTTGAGCATTGTCCTGCTGGAAAAACACAGTCCTCAGAGTTGGATACCATTGTCAGAGCAGAAGGAAGCAAGGTCTCTTCATTTTTTCCAGAGCTGTATTTTACTAAATTATTTTGTTACAGCTACAGTTTTGTTGCTTGTTCAGAGAAAGGAAACTCATTTGTCCAACACATTTGACATTTTCACAGTTTTGATGATGTTTGACGTGTTTCATAAGAACTTTGCACAAGAAGTGGTTCAACAAAGACTTTTAGTTTCACAGCCATGATTTAGCCTTTATTTTTCACTGAATTTGAAATATATCGTATCAAACTGAAAGTGTACTGTATCGAGATATGTATCGTATTGTGGCCTGTGTATCGAGGCATGTATCATATCGTGGCCTATGTATCGCGGTACGTATTGTATCATGGCCTATGTATCGAGGTATGTATCGTATCGTGGCATGTGTATCGAAATATGTATCGTATCGTGGCCTATGTATCGAAATATGTATCATATCATGGCCTATGTATTGAGATATGTATCATATTATGGCCTATGTACGGCAGTATGTATCGTATCGTGGCCTATGTATCGCAGTGCGTATTTTATCGTGGCCTATGTATCGAGGTATGTATCGTGGCCTGTGTATCGAGATATGTATCGTATCATGGACTATGTATCGAGATATATATTGTACCGTGGCCTATGTATCGTGATATGTATCTATGTATCGTATGCTATCGTTGCCTATGTATCGACGTATGTATCGTATCGTGGAGTGTGTATCGAGATATGTATCGTATCGTGGCCTGTGTATCGTATCGTGACCTATGTATCGAGGTATATATTGTACCGTGGCCTATGTATCGTATCGTGGCCTATGTATCGAGGTATGTATCGTATCGTGGCCTGTGTATCGAGATATGTATCGTATCGTGGCCTATGTATCGAGATATATATTGTACCATGGCCTATGTATCGTATCGTGGCCTATGTATCGAGTTATGTATCGTATCGTGGCCTGTGTATCGAGGTATGTATCGTATCGGCAACTTCTTAATGATCCCCAGTCCTACAAAGCAGCTTTAAATCGAAATGTAAGACTTTTATTTATTCTCTCTGTTTAAATCTGCAGCATGTATCTAAGCTGTGGCGGCACTGAAACACTTAATGGACATAATGAAAGCGCTTTGCTACACAAGCTCGCTTTTAATTACCCTTTACAAATTTGAAACTGATAAATATTAATTGCTAAAAGGTTACGCTAGCAATTAGACACGCCACAAATTGGACTCTGGCTAACCTTTCCACAGACACTGGGAATCTTAATACCAAAACAGGGCCTCTCTGTGTGGGTCTGTGTTTATGCCGGCTCTTTGAAACACTTTCACTTGAATACAGTTTCCCCCGTGTCACATTCCACCAGAGATAGATGGAGATGACATGACGCAGATAGAGCGATGCGGATCTCGCAGCGGGACAGATAGCACGGACTTTTTGAAGAAATGTGAAGCTTTTGAACACCACGCTTTTTACTTAATTTTATTTGAAGTAACAGTACTCTTACCTGAGGAAAAGCTTGGTTAGTCCTTCCACTGTGAATCTTAAGTCACAAAAGTATGATTTGAACTGTTTTTGAAATTTATGTTTCTTGCATCATTGTGATTTGGGATGTGACGATATCCAGATCTCTCGATACAATATTTTCACGATATAAACCAAAGATGTTAATTT